GTCGGCACACCCCTCGCACGTTTCGCGTGCAGTTTCCCCCCCATTTCGGCACACTCCGCACACGCTTTGTGGCCCCATAGGGAGCTCCACTGCGTGCCTCAGCGGCAGGGTTCGAATGCGGTTCCCTGCCCATTTCGGCTCCCTCCTCATACGCTTCGCGGCCACATGGCGAGCTGAACCGACAGCGGTGCCGCAACGCGGTACTCTCAACTGCATATGTTTGAGTCCTTCGCCAGGAGCCGCCACCGTGCCTCTGGGCACGGAAGGGGCGTGTCCTCAGCCCCTTTGCCCGATCCCTGGAGCCTCGGCCCTCGGTCCTCGGGAGCTCGGAAGGGGCCCTGACCCAGAATTCATGAATCTCCTGGGGCACCGGGCGTGCCCATGGGGCTTCCCGCGTGCCGGCTCCCCCGCATCTTGTCGCGGGACTTTCTCGCGCCCAAGAGGGCCCCAAGACGGGCCAAGCGGGCCCCACGAGGCCCCCAAGACGGGCCAAGAGGGCCCCGAGACGCCCAAAGATCGGCCCAAGACGCCCGAGATGGCCTCAAGATGGCGCAAGAGACCCCCAAGACACACCAAAAGACCTCCAAGAGGCCTCCAAAGAGGTCCTCACGATTCAAAAACCATGGATTGTACGTTGGTTTTGACGGATTCTGGCATTCTCGCCTTTCCGGCTTTCCGACACTCCAAGGCCCAAGAGGCCTCCAGGACCACCCCAAAACTGCCCAAGAGGCCTCCAAGAGGTCCCCAAGACGGCCTAAGACCGCGCCAAGACAGCCCAAGAGGCGCCCAAGACCGCCACAGAGGCGACCAAGACGACCCCCAAAATGGACCCACGAAGGGGACCACGACAATCCGAGCCTTCAGTGCCAAGAGACCCTCAAGAGGCCCAAAGAGGCGCCCAAGAGGCCTCAAGAGGACCCAAATAGGCCCCCAAGAGGCCCCCAAGAGGCCCCAAGAGGCTCCGATTCGGCCCCCAAGAAACCTCCAAACTGCCTTCCAGATGCTTCCGAGATGCCTCCCACGAGATCCCAGCGGACATTCAAGAGCCTTCATACCAACCACCCGGGCACAATGGCGGGATGGACCGAGTGCCATCAGATAATTACCGAGGTGTCCACTTGAATCGACCGTAATCAGAAGATTCCCGATGGCCTGGACAGGCCAAGCAACCTCCGAAAGCTTCAATGCTCGATCCACGCACCTCGATCCTCCTCCTCGATCCTCGAAGCTCGATCGTCGATCCTCCTCCTCGACCCTCACAACTCGAACCTAGATGCCCCCTCCTCCCCCTCCTCCTCCACCTCCTCCTCCTCGACCCTCGATGCTCCTCCATCTTCGACCATCGATCACCGAACCTCCTCCTCCTCCTCATCCTCCTCCTCGACCCTCATAGCTCGTCTATCCTTCTCCGATCCCTTCCTTTTCCTCCATCCCCGCTCATCGACCCGCGAACATCGATCTTCTTCCTGCTCCTCCTCGATCCTCGATGCTGCTACATCTTCGACCATCGATCACCGAACCTCCTCCTTCCCCTCCTCCTCCTCCTCGACCCTCCGAGCTCGACTATCCATCTCCGATCCATTATGTTTCCTCCATCCCCGATCATCGACCCGCGAACATCGATCGTCCTCTGCCTCCTCCTCATCCTCCTCGAACATCGATGCTCCTCCATCTTCAACCATTGATCACCGACCCTCTCCTCCTCCTCCTCCTCCTCCTCCTCCTCCTCCGCCTCCTCCTCCTCCTCCTCCTCGACCCTCAAAGCTCGTCGATCCTTCTACGATCCCTTCCTTTTCCTCCATCCCCGATCATCGACCCGCGAACATCGATCTCCCTCCTCCTCATGCTCCTCCTCCACCTCGACCCTCGATGCTCCTCCGTCTTCGACCATCGATCACCGAACCCTCTCCTCCTCCTCCTCCTCCTCCACCTCCTCCTCCTCCTCCTCCTCCTGCTCCTCCTCCTCCTGACCCTCCGAGCTCGATCATCCTTCTCCGATCCTTCTTGTTTCCTCCATCCCCGATCATCGACACGGGACGAACACGAGCCTCCTCCTCCTCTCCTCCTCTCCTCCTCCTCCTCCGCCTCCTCCGCCTCCTCGACACCTCCGATGCTCCTACATCTTCGACCATCGATCACCGAACCGCCTCCTCCTCCTTCCCTCCTCCTCCTCCTCCTCCTCCTCTCGACCCTCCGCCCTCGGTCCATCCTGCTCCAATTCCTCCATATTCTCCATCCCCGATCAAATCGACCCGCGAACATCGATCCTCTCCTCCTCCTCCTCCTCCTCCTCCTCCTCCTCCTCCTCCTCCTCCTCTCCTTCTCCTCCTCCTCCTCCTCCTCCTCGTCCTCCTCCTCTTCCTCCTCCTCCTCATCCTTCGCCTCCTCCTCGCACCTTCGCGGCCGGCCCGCCAGGACGGAGGGCCCGCGGCCAACGCCGGCGACGCGCGGGGGGCCGCGGCGCGACCTCGAGGTCGACGTCGTCGTCCTGCGCTCGACCAACGGGCCCGCCTGCACACGCCTTCTGCCTCTCCGCCTTCTCCTCCTCCTCCTCCTCC